AGCATCGTTGCTACCTCTATCCGGTTCTTAATTAATGAGGTATACATGCTTTATAAATTATGATCTCAACATAACTCAACACTTCATCAATGCAACCTCTAACAAGTAACCAGTGATTAAAGTCTCCCAAAGAATGCGTCCCAAAAAACAACGGTAATGCTGGGTCAGGACGTCCGGCCGTCCCTGCTTGTCCGGACGCGTCTCCCAGATGCATAGTGGATTGGCCCAATGACCCCCTTAAATCTCCTTGTCCGTTTCTATCTAATAAAAAAACGCTCGCTGCTCTTATCCGCTCATTGCTCCGAACCGCTCATCGCTCCTATTCTCTCGCCTGCCGCCTCCGAGGAGCAGCGCTTGGCCATTGGACTGCCGGCCCTGCCTACCAGGCGCGGCGCGCGGCCGCCTCCGAGCCGTGGGGATTGGCTGTTGGCTCTGCCTGCCAAGCGCGACGCTCGGCCACCGGACTACCGTCCTGCCTGCCAGGCGCGACGCGCAGCAGCCTCTGAGTCGCGGCTGCTCTCTGCCTCCCTGACCTCCCTGCCACCTCGCACAGCCGCTGCCGCTGGCCCGTAGCCTACAAGCATCGCCAGGCATGTCTCCGGCAAACTCCACACGCCGACGAGCCTCCATTCTCCCAAGCAGCCTGGAGATGTTGCAATGTGCTGAAAACGCATGTTGCAAGCATATGTTTCATAGCGATGTTGTAATTGTTTCATACGGATGTTGCAGAAGTGGATCGAAATGTTACATATGTTGCAATGATAGTACACGTATATTGCAAACGTGTGTTTCCAATGTTTTATCTGTGTTTTCGGATGTATGTTGCAATTTTTTGCGTATGTTTTGTAATGATTTTTAAGTGTTTTCAGGTGTTTTTTAAAGTGTTTCAGAAGCATGTTTCAAGTGTTTCATTTTTTCTTCAGACATATGTTATAAATGTTGCATCTCGATGTTTCAAAAGTAAATCGGTGCTGCATCTCTCTCGTCGCTTTTCTGCTGCCTCGTCTCGATGTCTTCTCCTCTCCAGACGTCGACTGGGCATCTATCGCCCCCTACTCTTTCTTTCTGATGCTAGTGATGTTCGGGGCGGTATAGAAAACTTACACAAAAACGGATGGAGAGGGCGCATCCGGTCCCCGCGCGTCATGCGCGTGCCGAAAGTGGAGGAGGCACGGACGGGAAACGAGATGGGGCTCGGGTGTCCGGACAGGAGGCGCGCGATGCACGTGAATGAAGCAGGCGACCGGAGGCGGACGGAGGCGCTAGCAAGGCCCGAAAACAGGTTTCCAAACAACGGATCACAAAGAGGCGATCGATTAGTTTTAAGATCCATCTCGACCGTCGATCCGCTCACTCATTATTAGTACACCTCCTTCTCATCAACGGCCTGCTCCTCCTGCCTTATCCCAAATTCACCTCGCCGGCCGCCGCGTCCCGCTCCCGCGTTCGTCGCCCGAAGAACTGCAGCGGGCTTGTGCCGCCGCAACACCAACCCTCGTCCCTGACCGCGCCGCCGAGCCCATCCATCTCTAGGCCTGGCCTCGTTCGACCCAAGCGCGTTGCGTCGAATTTCTGCGTCCTAGCCGCCGCCGTCGTCATCATCCTCGCCGCCGCCGGTGGTGCTGGACTTGCGTGGAGGGAAGATCAATTCGATCTCGGATTGATTTCTTCGTTTGCTTGTAAGGAACCCTATTATCGTGCTTCCACTGCTTGTTTCTTACTTTGTTCGGTAATTGTGCTCCAAGATTCCGTTCCGTTTTGTTCTGCCAATCTGTCCATTTTTTCAGAACGTGGTGGATTCGTTGTAGCTGTGCCTATGCCAGTTTATGTTCCAAAATGTCTGATGCGCCCCTTGTTCCTGGGGTTACAAAGTTGCGTCAATTTACATATTTGTTTGCTGATGTTGGCATGTAACACATATGGCCCTGAAGAAACTTCTCTTGTAGGTGCGTATGCTTAGTATATGTGTGATGTGTGAACGGCTATATTCATTCATTCGTGAATGCTGGAGGCCGGAACATTTCCATATTCTTTTATCTAAAAAAAATCCATGCGAATTGTGACTATATGTTATAAATTAGGTTCTATCTTATTTCGTGATGGTGCTTTGTTTTTTTTTCTGGTATAAATAGCTTCAATGTGTACAGCTAAATGCCTCACGATACATATAGAATAAGTAGACCACCTGATTCACTGGCATGACTAAATTTAGATCAAACTACCGTGGAAATCCACTTAAATTCCTCAGTATGGTTGCTGATACACGCCCAACCTAAGTTTCACAGCTTCTGTTGGTTAAGCACAAAACAACCTCCACCTTTAGTACCAGTTATTAATGTGCACATCTATTAGGCTAGTCATGAACCACAACATCGAACTAAAACAGTGGGAAAATGATTCTCTTTGAGCTTCATTTGTAGGTACTTGATGTAATTAAGATTTGTTTTAACTTAGTGAAGACTCGCCAAAGTTTTACTTGTATACAAAAGATGGTCATGGCACATATGGGGCCAGAGTGAATTAGAAAATTTCCACAAAGCTGTTGATGTTGAGCAAACTATTCATTTTTTCCTGATCTGAATACAGTAGGCGCAATTATCCCTTGGTTATTCTAGTCTAGTTTTTGTTGATCACTAAATGTATTAGATGATGATCTTGCCAGTGTGCTTGGTTCCATTGGATATGCCAAATGTTGCAGCTACACCATTGTTGTGGACCACTCAGTACCCCATCTATTTTTGTTTTTCAATGATGCTCCTCTGGAAAAGGCTCCACAATCACAAAAATATCAAACATGTCACCGCAAGCATATATTGGAGATTAGGACGGACACCTTTATCCCATCTCATACATTCCTTTGTTTTTTCAAATATGCTCTTTTGGTCTTCCCAGCCGTTTATCTGAATATAAAATTTTTTAGGATCATGGCCTGGTGCAAGCGGTAGAGTCTTACCGCCTGTGACCGGAAGGTCCCGGGTTCGAGTCGCGGTCTCCTCGCATTGTACAGGCGAGGGTAAGGCTTGCCACTGACACCCTTCCTCAGACCCCGCACAGAGCGGGAGCTCTCTGCACTGGGTACGTCCTTTTTTTTATCATTTGGTAATATGTTCAGGACCTGCCAGACTTGTCAAAGATACGTGTGCAAGCGAGAGTTTGTGCTTTTAAAACTTAAACTGTTATCTATTTTCTTCCCAAGGCAATTTCGAGATGGAAATAATAGTTCTTGCATTGAACAAGGGGCTAAGTCTTGGAGTCAATATTATGTTGCTGTACGCGTTGCACATAAACGAGTGGTTTGATTTCCTTGCCAACATAAGTTTCTTAATTTCCTTGATAGATAGATTCTTGGATTACTTGTCAATGGCACAAAAAGTAGCACACAGATAACCATTACAAAGGCGGTAGCAATTAGCAACAAAGTGCTACAGTTGTAGTCCCCAGTACTAAAATATTGGAGAACCCGTGACTGTTGAGTGTTGACTCAAGCTGCTAGGCACTGAAGTATTGGAGAATCTTTTACTCATGACTCATCAAGCTACTAGGAAAGATGATGGATTCTTGGGCAACCAGCATACTAAGGGTAATATCAGTGGCAAAGTTTCTGGCTTCTTATCACATTGTCATGATTTACCTAACGTTTGATTCAGCCGCAGATTTTGCGGGGGAAAGGCTCGTCTCGGTTTATCCCTTCCCCAGACCCCACTCATGTGGGAGCCTCCGGCACTGGGTCTGCCCCCTTGATTCAGTTATCACAGCATGTTCAATGTATTCAGATAGACCCTCCAGGACAGGATGACGTGGTGTGGGCCTAAAAACTGCTTATTACATGACTATTTAGTTCAAAGGTTTTAGGCTCAGAAACTAGAGTTATGGCGGGAGATTTTGGAGTCCAAAGGTTTTAGGCTCAGTAGAATTAAACTGAGCATATGAGATGTGACTTCGGCACTACTATTCGGGAGGAGGAAGATATTAGTTTGGAAGGTCAAGTAGTGCCTAGAAAGGATACCTTTCGATATTTACGATCAATGCTACAGAGAGACGGGGATATTGATGAAGATGTTAGCTATAGAATCAAAACAGGGTGGATGAAGTGGCGACAAGCATCTGGTGTCCTATGTGACAAAAGGGTGCCACAGAAGTTAAAAGGCAAGTTTTATAGGACGGCGATTAAACCTGCTATGTTGTATGGTGCAGAATGTTGGCCTACGAAAAGACGACATATTCAACAGATAAGTGTCGCGGAAATGCGCATGTTGCGTTGGATTTGCGGTCATACAAGAAGGGATCGAGTTTGGAACGATGATATACGTGATAGATTAGGGGTAGCACCAATTGAAGAAAAGCTTGTCCAACACCGGTTGAGATGATTTGGACATGTCCAACGGAGACCTCCAGAGGCACCGGTGCGTAGTGGAATCCTAAGCCAGGATAGTAACGTGAAGAGAGGCAGAGGAAGACCGAACTTGACTTGGGTAGAGGCAATAAAAGGAGACTTGAGATGATGGAATATACCCATAGACTTAGCCTTAGATAGGAGTGCTTAGAAAACAGCTATTCACGTGCCTGAACCTTGATTGCTTCTGCTGGGTTTCAACTCTAGCCTACCCTAACTTGTTTGGGACAAAGGCTTTGTTGTTGTTGTTGTTGTTGTACATGACTATTTAGTTCAATTGCTACTGTCTGTTGTCTGCACACTTAGCTCTGTCTCTGCCTCAGAATTCAGCATATATAAAAACTAGAAATGTGATTTGCTTCGTTGTTGCTTTCAATCTTTCTTGTACTTCTTTAGTCCTCCCACACGGTTAGGTAGGTGTCCAATCATCATGAACATTTTCAATGCTTGGACTAACTTATCATTTTTTGCAATGAGCTACAGCCCAATTTATGTGTTACTTTATGAGTTGTATGTATTCCTACTGACTTCCTTTGATTTCTTCTGTCTACTGCAGTACTGTCTTAACTGAACCAAAACAGTTTCTGAAGCAAGCATTGCAAGTGCCATGGAAGCTGGGAGAATGGATCAGCCTTTCATGGCTGCTATCAATAGCCAGCCTTTGGTGGCTGAAATTGAGCCAGTGAAGAAAGCCAGCGGGGACATGCCTGCTGCAATGGGAAGTGGGTGCTTTGACTGCAACATCTGCCTTGATTTTGCAGCAGAACCAGTGGTTACTCTGTGGTCATCTGTACTGCTGGCCTTGTATCTACGAGTGGCTGCACCGCACCCTGGGGTGGAGTCAACTGCCAGCGAAAACAGCAGTCCAGCAAGGCGGCAATGTCGCGTATGCAAGGCAACGCTCTCCCCAAACACCCTTGTGCCACTATGCGGCCATGGAGGGAACTCAAAGAAGTCGCTGAACGGCATGGCCATCCCGCGTCGCCCCATGGTACACGTACACCAGGAGACTGTTAAGCATCAGAATGCACAGAGCAACGTCAATCCTCAGCACCAGCCATTGCAGCACCGACGCCACCATCCCAGTCCCACTGGATTCGACTCCATCTACCCTCCAGCACCAGTGGGTCATGGCTTGATCAACTCAACTGCCGGAGGGGTGCTCGGAGGGATGACAGAGGCCGTGCTTCCGTGGGCGCTCCGTGGCCAGCTGCCAGCGAGCTTAGCTTGTACGACACAAGCCCGTACCATGTTGCGGTGCAGAACATGAACCCCAGGCCGAGGCAGCATCAGATGGAGATCGAGAGGTCCCTGCACCAGATCTGGTTCTTCCTCTTTGTGTTTGTGGTGCTGTGCCTGCTCCTGTTCTGAAACAAGACAGTTTTATATACTCCCTCTTTGTACATATTGAAAGTGGGGAGGGGGATACTAATGGATGATGCGTGCAGTAAAGAGGGGTAATGGTCTGTATCGACAGGCGTGTGCGTAAGCATGCTGATATAGAGTTGTAAAATGTGATGAGACATGGAGGTGAAATGCATATTCCATTCGTCTCGTCTTTTCCTGCTTATTAGGTGCTTACCTGACATATCTTCTTGTTAGGTTTACCATCATCTGTTATGCATCGGTTGGTGTCACTGCCAAGGACTCTTTGATTTGTATATATATAAATCGAAAATAATGTTTTGGCTACCACTGTCTGCCCTGTGTCCTTTCTTTAATACGTGTTCCAAGAAGCACATTGCAATTTTGTAGCCAGGTGCATTCTCCTGTATGTGTTCCGGCAAAGGGCACACGGGGCGGCGGCTCAGGAGGAAGAGCACCGGCTTCCACATGGGACCGACCTGGCAGCTGCACAAAGGGGAAAAAAAGGCGACGGACCATTGGTATCTTGCTGGGCCGAGATAACAGACCGGCCTAACAACAGAGATGCTCGCGCGCTTATATCTGGATAGCAAGCCAAGCCTGGGAAGGAACAGAAAGCAGGCCAAGATATCGTTCGCGGTTCGCCACAGCCCACAGGGATCCAAACCAATGAAGTTTTCTATTTACAGAAAAATTTCTAAAACTTTTAATAAATTCATTATATGCACAGAAAATCGGTACAATTAAACTAAGCACACAACAAAAATAAATGCAGTAGCATGAATGGTGTTGTATAGCCTATAATTAATTAATTTACAAAATAGTACTTTTCTGAACATAGATTTTCAATCCATCAACCGTAGGTTGGCCAAAAAAAAAAGGGTTGAGAAATATGTTTCTTTATTTTATTTCCCAATCACATCCTAAATAAAATTTAAAAATTCTAGGGTGTGACAAAAGTGGAGAGGGAAAACTAGCTAGTTGCCATGGTGGGCTTGGGAGGGTATAAAAGATGTGGGGCTACACTTGGCGACACGGATGATCTTTTTTTAAAAAAATCATTAAACAATTGATCGACGAGTATCGCAAGTATTGTTATATAACTCACAAAAAAAAAGTATTGTCATATAAAAATCTGTCATATATGACACCAAAATAGATTATGACGATTTGGAGTTGGTGTTTCGACAATTTAATTTTGTAATGAACATATGTCATCTCCTGTAAAAATATCAGAAAGAGAGTAGATTTGTAACAAATAGCTACATGGTCATTCCAAAAACGTTACAAAAGGCTAGATATGCTAGATATCTTGTAGTGGGTTTAGAATCTAACGAATTTGTTGTTGTTCGTCATGGTATAGATCATGCTCCTCGTGCATGTGACTTGCCGTGCGCCTATGTGACTGCGAGCTGGACCTGTCTAAACCAGTGTAAGGTAAACACCGACAGTATGCTTGGCTGGGTTGTTTTTTTTACAGTATCACCTAAATATTTTACCTCTGCACGCTTCATTGTTGCTTCTTACTTCCTTCATTATTAATCATAAGTCATTCTATCTTTTTTAGAGAGTCAAAACATCTCAAGTTTGATCAAAATTATAGAAAAATTTACAAAAAATTATGATATCAAATAGATATACTATAAAAATAATTAATAAAGAATCCAATGATAATTATTTGATATCATAAATGTTATTATTTTATTATATAAATTTGGTCAAAGTTAAGATATTTTGACTCTTAAAAAAACTTAGAATGACTTGTTATAATTTGGAATTAAGGGAGTACAATGCCTGAGAGGACATGCCTAGTGAGGTGAAGAAACAAGTTAACGATTTTCTAAAACTAGGCATATCCATCAATGAGTTCTAGAAATTTGTATAGAAATATGTTAGTGGTGTTTAGCTACTCTCTATATTCCAAAATAAGTGTCGTTCCCAAGGAATCAAGCTCTTTGACCACATATATAAAAAAAATATCAATATTTATATTACATAATTAGTATCATTAGATAATATATTTTTATAATAAACTTATTTGAAGATACAAATGTTGCTAATATTTTCTATAAAAATCTAATCAAACTTTAAAAAAATGACCGAAAACTTAAAAAAAATTGATCGACACAAATACTGTAGAGATACTTATTTTGGGACAGAGAGAGTATTTACTATTTAGATATTAGATATTTACTCCATCTTTTCTAAGTTATAGTTTACTTTGGTTTTGTGAGAAGTCAAAATTTTCACTAATTTTAACAAATTTTTTTATTTAGAAAAAAACACATTAACATTTATAAGTTCAAATAAATACACACTATCAAAAAAATCACATGGAAAATGAGCGAAATTAATTTGATGTTTCAGATGCTAGTGTATTTTTCTATAAATTATTCAAATTTAAATAAGTTTAAATTGGAAAAAACCAAAAATAAACTACAATTTAAAATGGAGGGGGGAGAAGATAATAAAAGATTAAAAAACCTCCTTCTGAAACAGAGTAAGGGGGTGTTTGGATCTAGCGACTAAAATTTAGGAGGTATGTCGGGAAGATGTTGCATGGGGTGTTCGGATACTAATAAAAAAATAAATTACATAATCCGCAGTACTCCACGAGACGAATTTTTTAAGCCTAATTAATTCGTCATTAACACATATTTATTGTAGCAAAACATTGTCAAATCATGGACTAATTAGGCTTAAAAGATTCGTCTCGCAAATTATGTAATTAATTTCGTAATTAGTCTATATTTAATACTCCATGCATGTGTCTAAGGCCCCGTTTGACAGGGCTTCACTTCACTAGCGAAGCTATTTTTTTTCTTCAGCTCCACGAACAGTTCCATCGGTGGAGCTAAAGCGGTTTTGATAAACCGTTTGGCAAAATGGCTTCCCTGTGAGAGCATGTTTTTAGAGGCCTGGAGGAGGAACCGGGAGAAGCCACTTTTTTGGCTCCATCCCACCCTAAATCACTGTGAGAGCATATTTTTAGGGGCGTCACAAGTGAAGCTATTTTACTTTACCCCGTTTGATAGAAAACGGCTCCAAACGGCTCCTGAAGCCGGTGGAGAAGCCCTGCCAAACGGGGCCTAAACATGACCAGCGACTAAAATTTAGAGGGGCAACCAAACACCGCCTAAATAATAAGGTCCCGTTTAACAGGGCTTTTCTAGCGGCTTTAGGAGTCGCTTGGAGCCATTTTTTGTCAAACAGGATAAAATAAAACGGCTCCACCGAGGAAACTCCTAAAACGTGCTCTTAGAAAGCTTTGGAGTGAGAAGGAGCAAAAAAAAAAATAGTGGCTTCTATCGGCTTCATCTCATTCTACATGGCGTTCTCTAAGAGCATATTTTAAGAAAAACTATATATAAAGCTGTTTTGCCAAACGATTTATCAAAACAACTACAGCTCCACTCATTGAGCTGTTTATGGAGGTGAAGGAAAAAAAAAACTCGATCCCACTAGCACTGCATCTCGATTCTCGACTCCAGTACAGTACTCCACACGCGACGGCGGCCACTAGGGTTCCGTCGCCGCCCAGCTTGGAACCACCACTCGCTGGCCCTTGAGCCGCTATCAATATGCTCCATCAAGGATCCCGCCGCTTGTCTTCTTCATCGGCAATCACCAAGGGAGGCCGCGGCTCGTCTCCATCACCGCCGGACACAGGTAGCTCCAGTTCCCCTCCGTGTTCTGGTGCTCGATGTGGATGGTGGGGTGATTGGACAGTTCGTACTATGATTTGGAGTAGATTCGACCGGCGTGCTTGCCCTTTTATTGGCCTAATCTATAATGTGTTGTTTAGGGATGCCAAGTTTTGTTTCGTTTGGTTGTTGGTCGACCCAAAATGGATCAAAATTATCTAACTCGAATTTCAAAGCAAGAGAAATGGAAGTAAAATGAGCTATATTGTGTCCCATACTTTGCGTTGTGATGGTTACGTATGTTACTGTGGAGTTTGCACTTCTTTCTGCGATTTGTGCGTGCTCAGTCGCATGTCTGTTAGCATTAACACAGTTTTGCCTCTGTTAAATTGCAAATGAAGCAGTTGGTTTGGTCCTGATTTGCTTTTAACAGATGCAAAATACAGTCGATATATCTGTCATTTTAACTACCATCCTCTCTTTCATGAAACACAATCTGTACTGGGAGTGAAACAGCCTCATAAAGTGATTCTAATGCTGGTCAATCAGGAACCCTGCCAAATGCACCCTATGTTCTAAACTTGTGTAATGTTTTTACATATCACGAGCCTTGTGCTCCCACCTATAACTGTGTGATTGATAGTCAAGATCTTGTATTATTCATGAATTACTAAACTGGAGAGATTTTCTGTTGGGTTTTGCAAGTGTGGTAATTGTACTGGAGCAGTCCAGGGATGGAAAATATGAAGACTAAATTGTGCGCCAATGATTTTTGCTCTGATCTAACCATTGTTCTCAAGGGGTGGTATATAAGGCGAGGCGTGGCAACCAATCCACACTCATATCACCTAGGTGGTGCCTAGGTGCTTGCAGGGCAATGCTGGACAAGGTGATGCCGTGCCAATAGGATTCACCAGCTAAACAGCTGCAGGAAGAGGCAAGACAAATCAAAGAGAAGAGAAAAAGGATAAAAGGGGAAAGGAGAAGAGAGATAGCAGGCCCAACCCACCAATCAGCACATAAGTCCAACATATCACTCAGTGTGCCCTAAAGGCTCGGTGCTACTCCAATTACTCTCCCTCCCTACCCCGAGTCCTAACTGCTGCTCTGCCGACACCATCCCAGCCGTGAGAAACTTCCAGTTCCATCTGTCACCACTTGCTACTCTTCCTCCTTTACCCTATTTGGAAGTGCTGCTCTGCCGACACCACCATGCCAACGATTCTTGGCTTTGATCCAGTGGCAGCAGCAAGGATCTAGCAGCAGTGGCTTGTGATGGCATGATATTCAGTGGAAGAAGCTCACGACAGTATGAGATTTGTCTCTACGACACGGTACACGATGGCAGCAGTGGCCTACTAGTGTTACCAGGATACACGTACGATGGAGGGTAGAAACTCAGTGAGTGAGCAATGAACGTCAGTGCCGGCAGAGACTAGCTGAGATGTGAATTTCTCTGCAGATGCAAGAGTTGAGGACCTAAAGATGGAGAGTGGCAGGTGTTCAGCTGGTGTCAGAAAGGAGCAGGTCATGGTAGTGCAGCCTTAGTGCCCAGCGAAACCAGGGGTACCTGTGACACAAGGCTGTGTTGGCTTTCCATTTTCCTAGCCATTGGTGCAAGATGATACTGGCTGGTAGCGCAGGATCTATGGCAGGGGCACAAAGCTGCTTTTGTGAAGGAAGGAATATGGTGAGGAAAGAGGCAATTTGTGGCGGCTACATCTTGTGTTGTCTGTCGTGGAGTCTTGAGGGATTAGGCCAACATGAGGTGGAGATGGGCTGGATGGGCCATTAATTGCAGCCCATGCCATCGCTTGACAATTTTTTTCTTCCTTTTCATTTCCTAAGTAACCTTATTGGACACATCTTGCAAATTTGTGCACACAATTATGTATCTAATTTATTTACCATTCTAAAATATTGAAGAAGAGGTCAAGACCTACTCTATATACATTGTGTGTGTGTGTGTGTATATATATATATATATATATATATATATATATATATATATATATATATATATATATATATATATGTGTGTGTGTGTGTGTGTGTGTTGTAAGATTTTACAAAACAATATACACCAGCACCCATGTGACCATGTCCCAGCAACACTATGCAATACATGATAGAAATGGCAAGGCATTGCAGCGCCCTGCCCTCAGTGGAGTGCCTTATTTACTAGGTGATGGCTTAAGAATAATGGATTGAACCAGGTACTTGTAGTTGTAGCACTGATCATTATTCGAAGTGTAGTAGATATTAGGAAAGTGTGGAAGGATTATCCCTTTTGTAGGGCTCTGTTCTCGGTTCTCTGTATTGCTCTCTTACACATGAAATGATATAAGTTCATGGGATTCAAACTGGCTGTTTCTTATGTTCTATTTGTTGTAATTGTTTGACATCAATTGCAATGATATCGTAGGGTAGAACTCCTAAATAAATAAATAAATGGCATTACCAGAAAGTTCCCACACAAGGTGTGCTTTGGGGGGCTGGTTTGAGCCCAGGACCTTGAGGCTACAAGTGGAGAGACTCTGCCACCGTACCAGGCCTGCCTTTCAGTCTAGAGAAAAAGAAGCTAAGATTTTATTCTGATCGAAACTTTATGCTACTCTAATCAAATGAATTTTGCAATAGTTGTATGTTCGTATCACTTAGTAATTTGATGACCTCTAGGTCCTGATTTCGTTATTGCACCTGCAAACCTTTTGTTACTCATAAATAGCGGTTTTATATACTCATGGTGACTAAGTAGACATATTTGATGTGATATCTTACCTCACTGATGCACATGTTTAAGATTAAATTGCCCATATCGTCTACTAGACAGTATGAGGTGATTATTTGTTCCATCAACTTATTTAACAATATATACATAATTACATATTATGTGTGTTTGCTTGATCTGCGTGTCCGATTGGTTAAATTTGTTTTTTCTTGTACATATTCTCTGCTGTCTTGATCACACTTCGCTTTCTAGGTAACTAGTGTTTTGAACATTTAAGGGGTTCTGGGCATACTCCCTTTTTCGGAGTAGAACTCAGAGCAGTCTTTTTGTATGTATGTCTGTAATGGTTGTTCATCAAACAATTGTAGTGATTCTCCAGGTAGTTCTGCTGCTGCTATTTGGTTATATAATTTATACCGCTTTACAATGGTGCTTGCTATTACCTTCTTTTCCTAAAAATGTTGCTGTGACCTGTGAATTGAATGGTAACTGTACCTTTGGGCTCCTATCCTAACATATTTTCTTGCTATGTTCAGATGGAGATCTTTGTGAAGACCCAGATTGGTAGAAGCATCACCATCGAAGTGGAGTCCTCAACCACAATTGACAAGATCAAAGAAAAGGTTCAGGAAAAAGAGGGCTTTTGCCGGTACCAGCAGCGACTTATCTTTGCTGGCAAGCAGCTTGAGGATGAGTACACAGTTGCTGATTACAATATCCAAGAGAAATCCACATTGCACCTTATTTTCCGTACTCGTTGTCCTTGTGAAGATTGTCGTCGCACGTATATTTACGTGAAGATGCTCGTTGGCAATGCCATCACCATTGAGGGGGAACCATCCGACACAATCGACAATGTCAGAAAAAAGATTCATGGCCATCAGAGGCTCGTCTTTGCTGGCAAGCATCTTGAGGATGGACAGACACTTGAAGATTACAAAATCCAAGATGACTTTACCCTGCACCTTGATTTTTGCATGCGTATTTTCATGAAGACCATCTCTGGTAAGACAATCACTGTGGAGGTGGAGCCATCTGATACGATCAGCGATGTCCAGGAAAAGATACAGAAGCACCAGAGGATCATCTTTGATGGCCAACAGCTAAACGGTCAGGGCAAGCTTGCCGATTACAACATTCATAAGGAGTCAACCCTGGACCTTGACCTCAGCCATCAGGGTGGCATGCAGGTTTTCGTGAAGGCGCTCCCTAGCAAGGCCATCTGGCTGAAGTTAAAGCCATCTGACACGATCGGCAATGTGAAGGCAATGATTCAGGACCAGCAGAGGCTCTTCTTTGATGGCAAGCAGCTTGAGGATGGGCGGACACTTGCCGATTACAATGTCCAGAAAGAGTCAACCCTGCACCTTGACTTTGTACTGCAGATTTTTGTGAAGGCTTTCACTGGCCAGACCATTACTCTCGAGGTGGAGCCATCTGACACAATTGATGATATTAAGGAAAGGATTCTGGACCGGCAGACTCTTGTCTTTGATGGCAAAGAGCTTAAGGATAAGCATACTGATAGGATTCCTGATCCTACCAGCGACGTTGCGTAGTTTGTATGGGTGTGAGGGAGGAGGAACAGGCCGCGTTCCTCGCTGCCGGCGGCTGGGCGCCGTCGCGAGGTTGTAGGCGAGGAAGATGACATGGGGCGGCTAGGGCAAATTCCGGCTCCCTGGGGGAAGCCGGAAACAATTAAGATTGTTTCTGCTTAATCCTCAATAATCCCAATTACAATAATTTATACTCTAAAATATCCTTTTACGAAATAACCCTCAAGCTAATAGGTAAATATTAATTCATCATAAACAATAACTAAACGGGCCTATTCAGCCACTATTGGACCGGTTGCGCCTCTTATACTGGTATCCCGGTCATAACATCTCTTCCCTCCTCGGCAAACAGCTCGTCCTCGAGCTGGACCTCAGGATATTGCTCCTTGAATTCTTCTAGCGGCTCCCATGTCGCATCATCCACTGGAAGCCCCTGCCACTGGACAAGAACGCGCCACTCGCCGCGACGGAGTTGAGCGCGCAGCACCCGCTCAGGCGCTTGCAGAAGGCGGCCATCCTGTACCGGTGGAAGAGTAACTGGAGCAGCCGGGGGAGCTCCCGTGTAGGCCTTGAGCTGACTGACATGGAAGACGTCATGAAGGCGAGCGCCGGCAGGAAGTTGCAGACGGTAGACCACCCGCCCGACGCGCTCGAGCACCATGAACGGCCCAGCGTAGCGTGGGCGGAGCTTGCCCTTGGAGTGCGCGACGAGGACTTGTTTAGGACGGTGGAGGAGGCGCAACAGCACCCAGGCGCCCACCGCGAAGGACACGTCGCGATGATGCTCGTCATAGTACCGCTTGGCGTACTGCTGTGCCTGAAGGAGACGCTCCCGGACCTCCTCCAGGAACGCGTCGCGATCGCGAAGCATCGTGTCAGCCGCCTGAGTCTGAGCCGCCCCATGCTGGAGCGGAAGGAGGGGCGGTGGGGGCGGCCATAGACCACCTCGAACGGCGTTGCCCGGAGCGCCGTCTGGAATGACGTGTTGTAGCAGTACTCCGCCCAAGAAAGCCAGTCGACCCAGGAGCGAGGACGATCCCCGGTGACGCAGCGAAGGTACATCACGATGATCCGGTTGACCACCTCGGACTGCCCATCCGTCTGTGGATGGAAAGCCGTACTCAAGCAACCGCTTCACGCTGAAAGCTTAAAGAGATCACGCCATAAATTGCTTTGGTGAAGACGGGGTCGCGGTCACGACGATGGAGGTGGGGAAGCCGGAGGCGCACAATGCCATCGAAGAATGCACGTGCCACCGACGCAGCGACCCGTGTAGGGGTGGCCGAGGCGATGAAGTCGCGCGTGCTTGGAGAACCGATCAACCACCGTTAGGATGACCGATTTGCCATGCACCTTGGGGAGGCCATCGACGAAGTCCATAGAGATGTCCGCCCACACTGCGATGGAACGCCAAGGGTCGGAGCAACCCATTGGATGCGTTGTCGGCGTCTTGTTCGGCCGCCGCGCGTGTCGCGAAGAGCGACGCGATCCGCACCGATCTGTGGTCACACAGGAAGTAGAAGTCTGGCGGAGACGAACAAGGGTCTTCTGTATGCCCTCATGGCCGGCCTTGTGTGCCAGCGCCACCACCTGGGGACGCAGGTCGCCATGTGCCGGGATGAAGACACGCTTGCCGTGGAGCAAGCAGACCGTCCTCGGCGCGCCACGGCGCCTCCAGCTCCCATTTGGTCGGGTTCTTTGGAGGAGTTCACCGGCCTCCTGGTCCAGCGCCATTGCCGCCCTGATGTCGTCGTAGAGACGGAAGGAGGGCCCGGACACAGCCATCGCCGTGGGGCCGTCCTCGTCACGGCGGGAGAGCGCATCGGCGGCGGTGTTGAGGCGCCCCGGCCGGTACTCAACGGTGAAGTCGAACCCGAACAACTTGCTGAGCCACTGATGTTGAGGAACAGTGGACAGCCGTTGATCGAGGAGGAACTTCAAGTGTGAGTGGTGGTCGGTGCGACGACGAAGCGGCGGCCCCCTGAGGTACGGCGCCAATGGCGCCTGACTGGACCAAGCCGATGAGCTCGCGCTCAGAAGCCGCCAACTTGATGTGACGGGCGTGAACGGCCGATCGAAGAAGGCGGGGACCCGCCCCAGTGCAAAGACACGCGCTGCCGAAGCGATCTTGGGGCGTCGCAGTCGACCACGAACTGGCGATCAAAGTCCGGCATCTGCAACACAGGCACCGATGATAAAAGCGCGCTTGAGGCTGGAGAACGCCTCGTCAGCCGCCTCATCCCAGGCGAACGCCTCCTTGCGCAGGAGACGTGTGAGGGGCGCAGCGATGGAGCCGAAATCCTTAATGAACTTTCTGTAGTAGCCGGCTAGCCCCAAGAAGCCCCGTACGCCGCGGGGTGAGCGGGGGGCCGGCCAAGCTGCGACCGCCTCCACCTTGTCGCTGTCCATGGCGACGCCGTCTTTGGAGATGACGTGGCCCAAGTAGGCCACGGAAGAGGCGCCGAAGGAGCACTTGGACCTCTTGAGAAAGAGACCATGCGCGCGAAGGGCGCTGAGGACGAGGCCGACGTGCTGGAGGTGTGCTGCCCACGATGTGCTGTAGATGAGGATGTCATCAAAGAAAACCAGCACAAACCTGCGGAGGAATGGGCGAAGGACGTCGTTCATCAGCGCCTGGAAGGTTGCCGGCGCATTGCAGAGGCCAAACGGCATGACCAGGAACTCGAAGTGCCCCTGGTGAGTGCGGAACGCTGTCTTGGCGATGTCCTCATGGTGCATGCGCACCTGATGATAGCCCGAGCGGAGGTCAAGCTTGGTGAAGTACTTGGCGCCATGGAGTTCATCGAGAAGCTCGTCGACCACCGGAATCGGGAACTTGTCCTTTGATGTTTTATCGTTGAGAGCCCTGTAGTCAATGCAGAAGCGCCAGGAGGCATCCGCCTTCCTGACCAGAAGGACCGGGGCAGAGAATGGGGACGTAGAGGGCCGGATGATGCCCTGTTCCAGCATGATGGCGCATTGACGCTCGAGCTCATCCTTCTGCAGCTGTGGATACCTGTACGGCCTGACCGCCACCGGTGCCGTGCCAGGAAGGAGATGGATCCGATGGTCGTATGGCCGCACGGGCGGCAAGCCGCGCGGCTCCTCAAAGACGGCGCCGTGCTGCTGTAGTAGTCTGTCCAGCAAGGGTCGAGGCTGGTCGGCTGCGTCCGCGGCCAGCAGGTGTTGAGGCGCCGGTGGAGAGCCCTCGCACTGCCAAGTAATGCGTCGGTTGTCCCGCTGGAAGGACACCGTGTGGCCGTCAAAGTCCCAGGTGAGGGGCCCCAAGGTGCGCAAGAAGTCGACGCCGATGATGAAGTCGAAGCAGCCCAACGCGAGGCCGACGCAGGTGACCGGGTACGACGCGCCACCGATGGAGAGTGGAATGTCGCGGCCGATCCCCTCGCATGGCAGGCGCTCCCCGCTGGCGACGGTGACATGTAGTTGCGCGGCGCCCGGGGAAGAGAGCCCCAAACGGCGCATCACGTGGCTCTGGAGGAACGTATGCGTGGACCCGGTGTCCAGCAAGGCGAGGAGTCGTTCGCCCTTCAGCGACACATGCAGAAGCATTGTGTTTTCCGTTCGAATGCCTGCGAGAGCATACATCGAGACAACAAGGGCATTAGCTGTAGGCTCCTCTGCCGGAGTAGCCGAATCCTCCGGTGGCACAGCCCCTTCGTCTTCTGCGTTCGCGTATTCGTCGACGGTCTCGAGGTAGAAAAGGCGCTTGCACACGTGTCCCCGCGCATACTGCTCATCACAATTGAAGCAGAGACCCTGGCGTCGCCGCTCCAATTGTTCCGCCGTAGTCAGATGCCGAAAGCGCGGCTGGCCGGTGGCCGCAGGAGACAGGGCCGGCGGCTGGGTGGCAGGAGCCCCTCCCGTTGCTGGTGCAGCCATGGACGGCCGTGGTGGTGTTCGTCCACCCCGCTGCTGTGGCGGCTGCGCCGGCATGAAGGCCGCCGCGCGGCGCTCGAAGGCCCGCGCGAGGTACATCGCGGTCTGCAGGTCAGGCGGGTGCTGCAGCTCGACGTCCACCTGGATGTGCTCCGGAAGGCCGCCGACGTAGAGCTCGGCCTTCTGCCGTGGGTTCAGATCACGCGCGTGGCAGAGAATCGCGTTGTAGCGGTTGGAGTACTCCTGTACCGAGGAAGTGAAGGGCAGCCGCGCGAGTTGAGCGAGTCGTGTGCCCTGTGTTGGGGGCCCGAAGCGGAGTTGGCACAAGGCGCGAAAACGATCCCAAGCGGGCATGCCTTCATCCTGCTCCAGCGCGTAGTACCACGTTTGGGCGTCTCCGCGGAGGTGGTACGAGGCGAGCCAGGTCCGGTCCGAGTCCAGAGTTCGCTGTTCGCGGAAGAATTGATCACAGTGGTTCAACCAATTGAGGGGGTCGACGCTGCCATCAAACATCGGAAACTCCAGCTTGTAGAAACGCGGGGGCGCGTGTGCTCCTTGGACAGCTGCGGCGGCGGGAGCGCCACCCTCCATGGCGATAGCCACCGCTGCGTCGTTCCCGGAGGGCAGCGCAGCCGAGGATGGGGCGCCTCTGTAGTAGAGGTTACCCGCAGCGTCACCGTAGAAGACGCCGGGGGTGAGAGGCCGAGACACATCCCCACCCGCAAAGGCATGCGGTGGTGGCGCCGTCGACGTGGAAGTAGCCATGGTGTAGATCGGAGCGGCTGCGGAGCCCGCCATCGCCCATGACGGGATTGGTGACGGCGAAGGCGGCCACGGGAGCATGTGGAGGGGGAGTCCAGTGCTCGGAAGTACCGGCAGACTCACGGGCGGCACCCCCGCGGAATGATCTGCCGGCGCGGCGGCCGGCGCAGGGAGGGTTGGTTGCGGCGGGGGCGGTGGAGGCAATGACGCTGGCGGAGGATGTTGCTGCGTGAGCCCCGTCCACGCGGCCTGCATCGCCGCGATACTCCGGTTCATCACGGCCATATTCGCCAACATCTCGGCGACGACCTCGGCGAGGGAGTCCAGCGTGAGGGGCCGGGCACCCGAGGACGCGGGGGAGGCGGCCGCAGAGGATACCGCCGACGCGGCGGAGGAAGAGGGCTGCGGCAGCGGAGGGGTTGGGGGAAAACTGGACTGCGGCAGCGGAGGGAGTGGAGGAGAACCTGACATCGCTGATACCAGGTTGATAGGATTCCTGATCCTACCAGCGACGTTGCGTAGTTTGTATGGGTGTGAGGGAGGAGGAACAGGCCGCGTTCCTCGCTGCCGGTGGCTGGGCGCCGTCGCGAGGTTGTAGGCGAGGAAGATGACAGGGGGCGGCTAGGGCAAATTCCGGCTCGCTGGGGGAAGCCGAAAACAATTAAGATTGTTTCTGCTTAATCCTCAATAATCTCAATTACAATAATTTATACTCTAAAATATCCTTTTACGAAATAACCCTCAAGCTAATAGGTAAATATTAATTCATCATAAACAATAACTAAACGGGACTATTCAGCCACTATTGGACCGGTTGCGCCTCTTATACTGTATCCCGGTCATAACACATACACTTGCAGATTACAATATCCAGAACGAGTCCACACTGCACCTTGACCTCTGCCTGGAAAGGAGGATAACTCGTCGTGGAGATGGTAGCTGGCAGGAGTATCTCCCTCGAGATTGACTCCTATGATATGACTGACAACATGAAGATCATGTATGATGTGCCCATTCTGCTGCAATCGGCACATTTTGTTGGTTTCCAAGCAGCTTGAGGGCTCATGTTAATCTTCATTATTGTACTCACCAGGCCACCACCAATTCGACCTCTGCTGAGAATGTGCCGCTGTGTTGGATTGCATCTTTATCTTCACGTGATTGTAGCTGTCAGTGTCTGTGTTTAATCGTATGATGGTACTTTCATTTCAGAATTTCAGCTTGAAAAACCCAAATTAGGAACTCCTAACGTAACTGTAGTTGTCAGTGTCATCTTTATCTTCACATAAATGTAGCTGTCAGTGTCTGTTTAATCGTATGATTTTACTTTCCTCAGTGTCTGTGTTTAATCTTATGATGATACTTTCCTGTCAGAATTTCAGCTTGAAAAAACCAAGCTCAAATTAGGAACTCTTAATGTAACTGTAGTTGTCAGTGATGTTTATTTGTATGATACTACATTCCTTTCAGAATTTCGGCTTGAAAAACTAAGCTCAAATTTGGAACTTTCGGAACACAAACTGTGAACTTAAAGAACGCAAATGGAACGTCAGGAGCCCTGCTTGAAAAACTAAGCTCAAATTAGGAACTTAAATAACACAAACTGTGAACTTTGGAATGTCAGGAGCCCAAATTAGGAACTTTGGGAACACAAACTGTGAACTTGGAATGTCAGGTGCCATCACCGGCCGAGCAAGGCGAGCAGCGTCACCCGGTCCATCTCGTACCCACACATCTCCCCCAACGACGACTCGCCGCCGGCTGCGGTCGCCACCCTCCTGAACTCCTCCGTCTCCACGTCCAACGTGTAAACGTGAGTGTACGGGTCAGAGTTATTCCTGGCCGTGAAGATGACAAGGCCGCTCTTCTCGCAGAGCCACCGCAGCCTCACCGTGTGCACCATCATCAGCGCCTGCATCTTCGTCCACCTCCACTTCAACGCTTCGCCAAGCAAGCAGCCGCCGTCGACGATGTCTCCGTCACCGTCGGCGTCTCCGTCTTTGCGTCCTCCCCAGTAGGCCCGTATCGTCTCACTGTCAGCCTCCACACGGAGCAATCCACCGCCAGGCATAACTCCCAGCAACCGGTGTGCCGCGCTGACCGTCGTGCTCGAGTGGCGCTGTCGCGCAGCGGGGGAGAAGCCCGCCACGGTGTACCGCGGCGGCGTGTCGGCGTTGTTCTTCGCCGCGGACACGGCAACGGCAGGCGCCGGCTGCAGCAAAGAGTCGAGCCGCAGAGCCACCGCGAGGCGAGGCCAGAACACGACCCCGCGGTGCACGACGGCGGCGTGCGGTCCGACGGCGAGCTGGGTCCTGCCGATCCTGGCGCCGGTCACCTCCGCTTCCGGCCCCCAGCTTCCCGCGTCCGAGGAGTAGCACCGGAGCGCCGTGAAGCCGCGGCGGTTGTAGAGGAGGAGCACGCGGTAGGACGAGTACCGCGTCATCATACGCCGGTCGCCGCCGCGCTCGTCGGCCGCGGTGATCACCGTGCACGCGTAGGGCCCGGAGGGGCTGTCCTTGCCGCGCAGCTGCGGGAGGACGTCGACGCCGCCGCCGCCGCCGGTCACCCGGTTGCAGACGCCCAGCCTGACGGCGTGGGTGACCCTCGTGTTCGCGCGGCGGCGAAGGTCCAGCACGAGGCGGCCGTTCCGGGACGCCACCACGCGGGACGCGCCGGCGTCCACGAGCGCGGCGAACGAGGGCTGGATACGCGAGGCGGCGGCGGACAGGGGCACGAACCGCGGCTGCGCGACGCCGCCGTCGGTCATGTGCGAGTGGAAGAAGCCGAGCGCGAGGCTCCCGATGCAGGGGTCCGAGCGCGGGGTCGCGAGCGGGCAGATGAAGGCGGCGTCGGCCGACACGAGGCGGCGCCAGCGCCGGCAGGTGGCGGCGCAGCGGACGAGGTCCGCGGTCGTGAACGAGAGCGCCGAGAAGACGAGGAGGAGGGCCTCGTCGCTCAGCGGCAGCCCGTCGTCGTCGTCGCCGCCGTCGCCGCACCGGCCCTCCCGCTTGAACGGCTCGCCGTGCCGCACGGACAGCCGGCGGCTGCCTCGCACGGCGCGTGGGGGCTCCGCGGCGGTGGCGGACCGGCGACGCGCTGCTCTCCGTGGCGGCGGCATGGTGGGTAGAGTAGGAGCAAGAGCAACGCTGTGGGTGGGGAAAGGCAACCAAACCAACGATCCGGCGGTGGTGAATCGAAGGACAAGAGAAGGCTGCTTGGATCGGATCCGCGTGGGCTGGTTGAGTTGCTCGTTCTCCAAATATTCAGCTCATCCGATTTGTTCCTCCAAACTGTCACAGATTAATCGGATCTTGTGAATTTGTGATCACGACCACGAGAGCCGAATACCATAGCGGCCGGACTCTTGACAAAAGAGTAAAATATACGGGTAAGCTATATATTACTCGAGTATTTTTTGGGCTGCGCTCACTCGATCTGGCGTGTCCGATCAGCGCTGTGAACGGCGCACAGCGAGAGCTCGCGGGCCCCTGGCTTGTCCTGTGCGTGTGATCGGACGTGGCCTGTGGCCTGTGTAGTGCATGATGTGCAGGTGCAGGCGGCCGGCTTGCATGCTTAGGTACGGGTGCAGCCGTGCAGGCGAGATGAACGCTGACCCATCACATCCTTGTAGATACTGTATGCATCGAGATTTTGGTGTTGGGTTGCGCTGGTCGTTGTGCCATCGAACGTTTGAGCATATGTATGAAATATTAAATATACTGTATGCATCTAGATTTATTCTTTTAGCAGAGACAGATTACACCATATTTTACTACTTTTATTTGGTGGAAATTCTACGTTCAACTAGTGTAAATTGATTATTTATAAATAAATTGGTTTTTATTACTTGATCCGAACATCATCTACAATATCTTTTTAAATTTTTTTTAATCCAAATATGTTTTATTCTTTTAGCCTTTGAAATTTTTTGGGTTTCTTTCATAGAAATAATCTGGTTTTTCGCCACATCGAATGTTTAGACACATAGTATTAAATATAAACTAATTACGAAACTAATTACACAACTTAGACTAATAATCATGAGGCTAATCTTTTTGTAATTAGTTTATGATAATATTTTTATATTATTTAAATATATGCTATTTTGATTAATTATGCTTAAAAAATCATCTCGCAAATTAGCCTCCATCTATGTAATTAATTTTGTAATTAATCTATATTTAATACTCTTTATTAGTATCTAAACATTTGATATGACATGAATTTTAGGAGCAACTAAAGAACCAATCACCCCTACATCTCATTGGACCACATTTTACTGCTTCTATTTGGTGTAAACTCTGTGTTCAACTAGTGTAAATTGATTATTCGTAAATAAAAATGGTCAGAATAACTTGATCGGTTATCTGATATTTTTTTTGCTTTTTTTAATTTTATGTATGTTTTATTTGGTTTTTCTTTGAAATTTTCTAATTTGGCTTTCATAGAAATAATCTGGCTTTTTTTTATTTTCTGTATGTTTTATTTGGTTTCCCTTTAAAAAATTTCAATTTCGCTTCCATAGAAATAATCTGGCTAATCTTTTTGTTTTATTTATTTAATATTTTTATATTATTTGGATAATTGTTTTGGTTCATTTAATCTGTATCCAATGGTTCCTAGAATCGAGTGTTGGAAGGATTTCAATCACTCGATTTTTGTTCCCCTAGCAATCGAGTGATTAGGTGCCTGGGTGTCACGTACACCTACAACACCCGGGCGGTGACTAGACACACCCAAAATATAAGGGGAAAACATCAAGAGTCGACAATGTTAAAAAAAGCCTACTAGTGTATTTTTCATTTTACCCATAATTTCAGATCAAGTGGCCCATGTCATTACAATCTCACTAGAAAGGGGAATAGTATATCTAGAGGCATATTAAAAGATTATTCATCGCAAATAGACACGTCCTCAACAAGATTTAGAGTCAATAACGAATTCGTATCAGAACATGTTTCCCTGTTTCTTCTTTACTTTTTAAATTAAACATAATGTGAAAATATATTTGTTATTATTGAAGGAAGTATATATTATTCTTTTTTCCCACTATTATGCATTGTGTCTAATATTGAATGATTAAAAGAGTGAGAATTTTCATTCTTTATTCATGGTCAGTATAAATTGGAGGGATAATCGCCACAGAAACTATATAAGCCATAGAATTTAAAACTGGACCAATGAAAAGAATTTAAAGGACAATGAGAATTGGACAATAGTGGGATAATTATTCTTCATGACAGAGATATATTTGGGAAAAAATTAGGACTGAATCTATACATTATATGTGCTATACATAATACATCGCGAGTACACTACATGTGTAGTTGTGTGTGATCTGATTATTAGGGGATGAGAAAAACGTTAACGATCCTGGGATGAGAAACATAAACATTACATTCTAGGAACTAAGATCCCATTGCAGAGAATGGACACTCACCAAGTTTTGAAAATAAAAAATAGAGGCAGAAGGTCACAACCCTGACAGAAATTTGGCAACAGAACCAAGAAACCCCAACTTGAAACAGGGAGGTTCAGTTTCTTTCAAAAAAAACTGGGAGGTTCAGGAGTACAGTTTCAGGAAGGTTGTTTCAAAGATGCAAACTGGACTGACCGTTCTACAACCTAAACTTTCACGCATTTGCTGAAAATATCAAGAAACAAAGAGAAGGATGTCCTGTATCAGCACACAAATGATGCAACTACGATTTTCAGTCCATGACTAAAAGCTGAACTCAATTAACATGTATTCTACTGTTTTGATATTTCAGGATCAAGGTACGGGCAAAATCAGCCACATATATTCTTGCCATCAGTCCATCACCCAACAGAGATGATGATGGTAACTACAACCAATGTTACTTTGCAGAACCGTTCACCATACTTCCGCATAACGCTTTCAGCAGTTTTATGTTCTCAAACTGAAAGGTTATCTCAGAATGATACTGGTCAGTAGACCGCATCAAATCTATCCACCATTATAGAAGAGTTGCAGAATTTTCAGAAACTATGGGACAATTCTCATGTCACGGTATAAGGGGCAGCAGTGCTTAAATGCTTTTGGTTTGCCGAAGAGATGAATTTCAACATTGTCAGAAGTTCCGCACTCGTACTCATGCCGCAGCAGCATCTGCTGCTGGTGGTGGTGCCGGATACACTAATGCCGCAGCAGCTGAATTCACAAGAGAAGACGAAAATCAATGAGATAATTAGGCATCATATCATGGGTATTACAACAGTGAGAACTAAACAACAGTGGACAAAAATATATAAGAGTAGACAGTCAGCTCCAGGATCAACACAATTGGCTAACAAGCATAAAACTGAATTATCTGAACTGGAGATCAGATTATGGGAACAGCTGAATTTGTAAACTGACCACCATGGTAGAAATGCAATCGGACAATTTGGACCAAGTTAAGAATCTGTCAAATTAAAGGACTGCTAAATCCTATAAGGCACTATGAACACTACAGACCTGAGAATGTGGCTATTTCCATTCGAGTGCTTCTTCTATGTACAGCATGTTTTAGATTAGTCCTAACCAAACGAAGTAAACCATTACCTCAAGCACAAGGTTGACTAAAATGTAGAACCCCAAAAAGCCATGAAGAGGATACAACAGACAACAACTATTTAAAATTAAACGACAGAGTATCTCTGAACATCAGGGCTACGGAAAACAACAGGCAAGTTGCAATTCCTGTTGTCAGTACTCAAAATCTATCATGCAGATTTTTTTTACCGATCTCTTTGCATAACAAATTCAGAATTACAGAACCAAACTTGAGCTACAACCAATGCTTAGTGTGCAAGTCATCCCACATGCTGAAACTGTAAGAGCACAGAAGATAACAAGTGCTGCACAGACTGCTGAGAAAATTGCAGAGTAGTCACCTGGTGATCCGGTCCTGAAGACGACGATGTTCATGGAATCTGTGCTGCTAGGCAGGTCGTCGGTGACCAGCGGCATTAGCCGCCCATGCGAGCCGGGCCGCATGCACAGCGTGTAGGCGGACATGTCCTCGTTCCAGTCCTGAAGGAGCCGCAGCTCGTTCTTCAGGTCGATCACGGAGCTGCCGTAGAAAGCGAATGAGGGCCAGTTGTGGTGGTTCTGGTCGAACTCCCCTTCATCGTTCGCCCGCACGTGCCGGATCGTCCGCGGCGGCTGCGGAAACAACAGTCCACTGTCGCTTCCCTGTATTTAGGAAAAGAATTATAGGAATCAAACGGCTGGACAATAGCGGTAACTGAATGAACATGTCTGAATATCTATTTTACTCACAACGGAATGTTCAGAGACCAAATTCTTTCGGTATCTATCACAGAAATCAGTAAAACAAAAACCATTGCGATCGATCCGGTATGAAATGAGCAAGATCAAATAGCGCAAATCATTCAAGTACACCATGAATATCTGTCATCCGGTAACAAAGAACTCTTGGCCTCAGCTTGGGCTTTCCGTATACCATGATTCGACGCAGATTTAACGATTGGCGAACACCAAATAGACAATACTTTGTGGACAAGTGGTAGAGAACGGGAAGGCGAACACATCGTAACAAAGTGCTCCAATGGAGTCCGTACCATGATTCGACTCAGAAATAACGGATGACAGATAAATTCGTAAAGCGCAGGGACCACTTTGTGGATTTTAATGTTTCCTGGGCATCGGATTTAAAACTTGTCAGCAAGAATTAACAGGTTCAGTAGTCTTGTATCGGAAGAAACGAACAGTTTCAGACTCAGGCAAGAATAAACGCAAAGATTGCGATGCAGTAATCAGACTTTTGGGAACTGGGAAGGCGAAAATCAAAACCAACGCATCCATGATTGGTGTTCCAAGTAAAGCTAGCCGATCGAGGACAGTTGCATTCCAACGCAACGCAATGCAAGGAAGGAGAAAGGATGGCGAAGCCACGCACCTGATCCTCAAGTGTAAGCGGAAGGGGTTGCGGTACCGGGCTCGCTGCGACTTGGTGGACCGTCCAGTGCATCATGGTGGTGACCCTGGGGGCGTCTGGATCGACGTCGGCGGTGACGCGGATGTTCCAGGGGAGGTACCTGCCGTTGGCGCGGAGGTAGCAGGTGAAGTAGCGCAGGCTGACGTAGTCCTGG